TACAGCAAATACAGTAAATAGCAATTGAAAATATGGAATATATACTTTTTACCCCCTCCCCAAATTCCATTTTTACCCCATTTGGGGTAATTTACCAGGGTTCCCCGACTGTTAAAAAATATCTTCATACAAAGTTTCATAAAGATAGACAAAAAAAAATCAACAATTAATTACAATGAGACGACCCGACCGATCTTCACCAGAAATTAATCAGCACGATGATCAAATGATGGCTTTCTGAAGGTTTTTAAAATTTCAAAATCGGTTCAGCATTCTTCGCGAAAACGTTGATGGACTATTCTCAACATGCTATCGCTTTCGGACGGGTTTTACAATTTCAAAATCGGTTCAGAATTCTTGGCGAAAACGTTGATAAACAAGCCTCAAATGATAGCTTTTGGACGGTTTTTAAAATTACAAAGGATTCTTAGCTAAAACAATGATCGTAAGTTTTCTGGTATTTCTAAACGTCGACAAAAGTCAAACTTTAGCTTACGTACAAAAACATACCTACACATACCCATGCTTGCGGTATTGACCGACATACCCAGACAAAAGACCAGTCTAGGATGCATAAATGCATTTCTTTCGCTATGCAAAAAAAACATGCTTTTTCAAATTTCGATCTCAAACGTTTCAGAATAACAAGGAAAAATCTAAAATTCTCCTTTAGGAAAGTTATCAACGATGAGCTGATCAACGATGCATCCCCATTGGCTACCTAGGAAAGACTTTAGTAAAATTAGGGCTACTGCAAAATGTTAGTTCGCCCTTGGAAATCACGTTGTACTGATCTTATATCGACTTAAATAAAATTAGCAATTCGGATTTTTAGCAAAACTATAAACAACCTTCTCCTTAAGGAAGTTATCGAAGAGCTGATCAACGATCCATCCCCATTTGCTACGTAGGAAAGACTTTAGTAAAACCAGGGCTTCTGGAAAGTGTTAGTTCGCCTCTGGTAATCACGTAGCACTAATCTTATATCGACTTAGATCTGAACATCAGAGCCCAGATGAAAAAAGTATAACTCGATCTTGTCCTGGGCGTTGGTCGTGTGGGTTAACGTTCTAACAGTGAATATATACGCGGAAGTCGAATGGTAAATAGTAAATAGTAACCGCGGCGCGTGCCACTTACCTTCCGATGAATCCAATCGAATCGAATCCAATCACGTCAATATAAAGATGATTTTTATTTAATAATAATAAGGTGCTTAACTATCTAAAAATATGAAAGATAATACTCAATAATATTGCTTTCTATTTATTATTCATCATGCTGTTCCTGTTACTGGCAGTGCAATGTCCTTTAGTAAAGAACATGGGGAAGAATTTACTGTTTGTTTCCCAAAGAGAAGTTTGCTTTAGCCAAAAAATCCGGTTTGTTAAATTTATATTTTCTCGACGTTTCAAGACATTCCAAGGCGTTTGAGACCAAAATTTAAAACGTATGTTGTATGAATGATAAGTATGAGATGAAATGAGTTATTGTCTACGCCAGTAAATTATCGAAGAACATGCAACAAAGATTATACAATACACAAGTTATTATACAATATACAAGTTAAAATTTATAATCAATAGATTAAAGAAGAACAGGCAAAACCTTTCGAAAGAGAAGTGTATTTTCGCCAGAAAATTCGATTTGCTATATTTATGTTTTCTCGACGTTTCTGAATCGTTTGAGACCAAAATTGAAAGAAATATAATATATAAGTGAAATATAATATATAATATTAAATGAGTCTACACCAGTTAATTATCCAAGAAGATGCAACAAAGTAAGATTATACAATTTAAAATTTATTATACATAGAATAGCAAAGAATAGAGAACATGGTAAACTTTTTGAAAGAGAAGTTTATTTTCGCCAGAAAATCCGATTTGCTATATTTATGTTTTCTCGACGTTTCCGAATCGTTTGAGACCAAAATTGAAAGATGTATGTTGTATAAGTGATAATATGAGATAAAAAGAGTAATTGTCCACACCAGTTAATTATCCAAGAACTAAACAAGATTATACAATTTGAAATTTATAATCAATATAATGGCCAATTGGAATTTACCTTTTTTTTCTTAATATCAACTTCTAATATTAGGATTAATTATGCATTCACTCAATAAAGATGATAAAGTCTTCGAATCCAATTTCTGTTGAGAATGAATCAATAAAATAATACTTCTAATACTACAAAATTCTTAAAAGAATTAACTGGACTGAGAAAAATAAATTAGTTATATTTTTCAAATCGTTATTCGCTTTGAAGAAAATGCATTAACGATACATTAGGTTGAAACAAATTACATGATAAATCATTTAACAGAGAAATTGATAAATTTGTTAAATTAAACATTATATCGTAGATAAAAACTTTGTCATAAAAAATATTTTGAAAATGTATTCATGGAAATCTTTGACTATAGAAAATTGTGCAAAAGCTGATCTAATAAAATGAATAAATAAAAATATTTTTAAAATTTGTTGATAGAAATCTTTGGAAAAGCTGATTTAAATAATACGCTAATTTTATTTAATAATTAATTATATTTTGATTTCATAGAAAAGGAGGAAAGACGTTTGAAATAATTCATCATTTACATTGTATACGATAGATTTGTTATCTTATTAAAAACTGATCAGAAACACTCACAAATAAATTTTATTTAACTTTGCTGCTCTCTAAAAATAAGCAAACCTGCAAAATGTTTAATCTTTGAATGCAAATTAATTAGATCAGCAACGACGCAGTTTATAGGAAATGAGCAAAAACCCTTGAAAGAAAATTATAAACATTGTTCTTGTTTTTACGAACACTGCATCTGTATATATATATATATATATATATATATATATATTTATCTGTGTGTGTATAATAATGTGTATGTAATAATGTAAATTCTGTATCAATTATAATATATGTAATTAATAAATCCTTATGCTACTGATTTATATGATATATATTCAATCTTGCAATTAATTTGATTTAAACATTAAACTATAAAGAAATTAATACAGGATTTTTTCCATTTATGGATTTTAATAATTATATGAATACCTTCGCGAATATTCATATAAGGTCTACTAAAGGGTTGCTTTATAAAGTCCATTCTAGTTAAATGTATCAATCTAATTGCTTAATGTCTAATATAAGACAAACTGCAATTTATATATTGGGAAATTAAACAAAACACTTTGATGAAGATTTTTTACGTTAACTAGTTGTTATTGATATATTATTTTTATAAACCAAAAAATATATACATATAACGTTATTGTCATTTATTTGTGGTCCAAATAGTCAATAAAGTGAATCATGCCATTCACTGATCTGGAACTGTGAAACAAATGTGTAATGAATGAATAAAATCGCTCGAACGATTCTGTTTCATGACTTATTGATTATTGAAATACAAAACTAGAAATAATCCGTTCGCTGAGGGTTCCGAATATTTATTTCCGAAATAAAAATACTTTTATCGGGTAATAAGGCGCGTTTCTTTTAGTCCAATGACGCAATATCATATGCTTTGCACATGTACAAAAATTTTTTTGAGTTTATAGCATTCAAAACCAAACAAAATGTTTTACACATTAATTATTACTATTTATAATATACACCTCTCCACTGGCACAATTTATATTTCTCCAATCTAGCAAAAATAATATATCAAATTTTCAAAGTTAATAAGTTAGTGAAATTGGGTGTAGTAACTTAGATGAGTAGTAAATATAAATTTCAATGGTATATGCAAATAAACCTTTGACCACTATGACTGATATTATAAAAACAATTTTTTTTAAATTATTAAAATTTTGCAGGAGGTTATATTCAGTCAACAACTTTTAGAAGAACACAGAAAAAAATGCAAATTAAGTTAGATACCATTATGATAAAAAGGCAAAAAATTGGAAACACGGAATAGACTGAAGATCTGACAAAATTCAAGTTTTCATTATTTTTATAAGTATATTCCTTTATATTATTTATTAAATATATATAAAATTAATGTCTGTTATTTACTTTAATACACAGACAATTTTCTACCCATCTGCCGTTTTCTATCCAAGCCCCATTTAGCTCTTGTTTATTGATAGAACGTAATTCCCAGATAAAATAGAGAATCATAATGCATACTTAATATATATATATATATATATATATATATATATTTAACACTTAAAAATATGTATTTATGCATATATGTTATATGCATAAAAATGATCTCTTATGAAACAATTGTAATTTTATTTGTGATTACTTAATTACCTTATCGTATTATAAAATCCGTTTTCCATGTCTTTATTAATAATTTTTCTTTTAACTCCTCGTCCTTTGCTCCTTTCTTTAATTACTTTTTGTAATCTTATCTTGAGGTGGCACTTTTTACTACTATATGTAATTTATTCTCCTAAGCTATATTGGAACTATCATATCTACTATAATGTTGTAAACCATTTTAAAATAGAAATAATTATGGTTTTATCTATCTATATATATATATATATATATATATATATATATTTTAACTGTTATATCGTAGCTATCAATTGGAAGTATCTTACCAAAATCGAAGAAATAAATGCTCATAGTTACGAATTAATAAATTGACATTATTCATCAAGTTGCTGCAGGTAAATTGTGTGTAGGTTTTTAAAAGGTTCAAAAACACTCCAAAATATAAAAAACTTCATAAGGCGTTTCTTCATAAACATAGATTAACACCTCCAAAAGTTTATAATACACGCCCAAAATTTGTGTGTGTGTGTATCAGAAAAGTATTTTTCAAAAATAAAGATTGATAAATTAGAAATGATGGATTTCAAATTAGATTTGAAAATGTTCTCAAACTAATATCTTTTGATTATATTCACTTTCTATAAAAAACTTTATTTTATGTATAAGAAAAATAATAAAAGAATTATTACTTTTAACATGTCTACTTTGTTTAAGATATTAAATACATACAAATGTTTATTACCCATAATGAGTACTTTTTATTGCCGGCTGTATACTTTGCTAATACTAATTTCATCAGCTACTACACAAACTTTAGCACATGTTAAACCAATTAGCACAGCTTGACGAAAAATTTCTTTATGAATTGGATTCAATGTATGGTAAAAATCAATTACATGTTGTATTACTCTTGGTTCTAAAGAATTAGGCAAACCTTTGGTTGAATTTTCAAAAATTTTTAATATAATGGGCTCAGTTGAAATACTTTCACTGCCAATGATAGTCTTATAAAACCTGTTGAAAAAAAGATTGATCTCAATACTTTTATCCACTACATTTCATGGTTGTGTAATATTAAGTTGTATGCATATAAAATATCACCTGGCTACCAGCATATTTCGCATGAAGTAAACACTGTGATTCGTACTTTCTTCAACAAAGTTATATAATAAACTATCTGTATTCTCTTGTATATTTTGATTATGATTAATATTTTGCTCCATTTGTTTTCTATTTGCTAAAATTGCACTTAGCATAGATATTAGCTGGATTCGATCATTCCTAACATAATTTGTACTGGCGGTGGTAGGATTCACATTATTTTGCAGTGCTTCAAAAATATAAATGTCTCCTTCAGGAATTAATCGTGCAATACTTAAGGCCTAATGGAATAAATAAATGAATTACAATTAAAATAATTTAGTGATATATATATATAGCATGAGCATATATCAAATACCAATTGTAAAAGTTGACTGAAGCCCGTTCGTTTATTTTCTTGCTTGTAATCATAAAGATTACAACTTTTAACAGTAATAAATGAATCAGCTAAAATATTTATAACAGACCAACTAACAGCATTCAAACTCACATGAATTGATACAATATTTGAAACTTTCTACAAAAAACAAAATAATACATATACAAATATAAAGACTTATAATTATTTAAATAATAGAAATAATACTTTTCGAATATTTTCATCAAGAGGTGGTGTAAGAAAACCCAAATTTCTTTTTTTGCCTTTCACAACTTTTTCAGTTGGTTTTTTATTGTCTCTCTCATCTAATACACTCTTATAAAACTTATCTAGTACTTTTATTCCAAAACCATCTACTTCCAATGGCGTTTCAAGATTATTAAACTTTCCTTTTCTGTTACGGTATTGCTCTAACTTTTTGAGTCTAACTTTAGTGATAGAATATCTGTAATATAAAAAATGATAGTAACTAAGCCAATTTATTAACATGTATAATTTAATTACCGTGATAAATCATCAATGGACTTCTCATTTAAAATATTCAATATATAATTTTGATCGGTATCGCTGTAACCACTGAGCGTATTGTGCTGACTACTTGAAGGAAGAGTACAGAGTGCTCTGGTATTTTTAATTTGAATTTGCCATAACAGCTATAATATATCATACACTTAAATTAATAATAAAGTTTAAAAAATTGATTAGATTTTACTTGTATTGAACAAAATTCTAACCTTGCTTGTTCTGATGAAACAATTTGTATATGATTGAATCATCTTTTATGATACGTGGTCTAACTTGAGACCATTTGTTAAAAATACTTATAAATATAAATCGTTTCCATTTATTTTTAATTATGGACTTTGAAAAGAAAATTAACCTTAAAAAATCAGATGTCAATTTTCAATAAACAAACCTCATTTACGCAATATATCAAAAACATAGAGTTGGTAGCATCTCCGAACAAATGTCGGTATGTTGGTAGTTTGTAGAAGTTATTTCTGATCATTTGTTCCCATCCCGCTTTTCAAACATATGATTCCTCTATGGCTTTCGAGAAATATTCTTATTCTTGAGTGTCCTTGACGTCAAATTTTTTATTTATTTATCTGTCGTTTTAAACCAATTAATATTTGTCACTTATGAGTCATATTTGATTACTTGATTGCATAGTGACTGTCATTACTTAATAGCATACAAGTGATTTTTCTAGCTCATATTCCGTAGTTATAAAATTCTGTTAGTTGAATTTGTTACTATTTGTTTGCTTTTGCGATTTCTATTTGAATTAACTGTACATAAGTGAGCTGAATAATGTCTCTCAATACTGCACACGCCAATGATGGCGTATTGATACATACTGGAGAATAGTAAGCAGCAACAAATCAAATAATCATACTATTGTGCAATTAATGACTAATATTTTTCTTCAGTATTCTCATCTTCAGTGATAGTGTCACTCTTCAGTTTGACGGACAACCTGGTGCTGAATTTTTGGGAAAGAAAGTTGGCCGTTTATATCTAACCACTCATCGGATGATTTTTAATAATAAATCATCTAATGATCGATTGCAGTCATTTAGTTTTCCATTTATCACCTTGTCTCAGGTAAAGTAATATAACTAAAATTATTGACACAACAGCAATATTGTAAATTAACAAATACCATTGTTAATTATTAATGGTTCTCTTTTTTTTACTTGCATTAAGATAAGTTAAGTCTAATACCCGAGTAAAAAAATTCATGAACAAGTAATAATATAGTAAACATATGGTTTGTGTTATTATCATAGGTTGAGCTTGAGCAGCCTATGTTTGGAGCAAATTATTTAAAAGGAAAGGTTACCGCACAGCCAAATGGCAATTTTACTGGCACAGCAGCATTTAAGCTTCAATTTAAATCTGGTGGGTGTATTGAATTTGGGCAAGCAATGTTACGTGCAGCACAATTAGGTATGCTCAAACTATTATCCAATGCATTATCCTATTAACAGCAATTTTTAAATAAAATTATTTTTTATTCAGCAACTCGCAATGCTCAAAATACCGCCCCACCACCATATACTCCACCTACCGGACCCTGGTATGCAGCTCCTCCACCAGCATATCAACCATCTCCTCAAGGTTATTATGGATGGATGCCCCCAACTGATGTGAGTAAATAGAATAATGCATACTCATTTATATCTAAAAAATGTATACAAAATTTATAGTTTAGTATTGAAGAATATTTTGTGAAAAATAATTATAATAAACTTCTATGGTGACAGCAATTCCCAAATGCACCACCACCAAATTCAGTATTCATGAGTGACAACCCGCCTCCATATCCTGGACTAGTCCCTAATGGAGGCTACAATCAAGGACCTAGTGCTCCTGGAGCACCACCAATGTATCCTCAGCTGAATCAGTATGGAAATCCAGCAAATTATCCCACACCGAATGGTGCGCAAGGATGGAGCAATCCTACAGCTCCTGCAAGTATGTTACCAGCAAATATATAAAATAAAGTCCCAACATGTTTGATCGTAATCCTATAATTATGTGGAAAAGAATTTCTTATAAAATTTAAATTAATCATTATTTTTTGCAATTCATATTAGAATCATTTTAGAATATTAGAACTCTTTAACAAGTATGCAATAATTATTTACAATTTAAATATGTGCCACAAAAATTGCAAGAATAATATACATAGTACATTTTGAGGAAATAATAAAATAGAAGAACTTACCATCTTGACTTTGTGTCATTTTTTTCTTATAAATTTTTCTTAAACTTATAAATCTGATTCCTTTGGCTTTAACAAGGTTGTTAATATTATTTCTTTAACATCAATTTGATTAATGTTTGTACACTCCAAATTTATATTATTAATAGTTTAAAAATTTAGATTCTAAAGCAGCAGAGGCAGCTCAGAGTGCTTATTATGATCCTAATCAACCCCAAACGGCTTATGTTCCTCCACCATCATATTATGTGAGTAAAAGTTAATTATGTAATAGTAATTTTAATACCTATAATATACAACCAAACAAAATTTATGCAAAAATTTTATATGTGCATTAGGAGCAGCCTCCAAGCTACCAGAACGCTACTAAGAAAAAAGATGATTAAAATAATCCAAAGAAAATAATGCTACTGTTGTAACTTTGTCACACTGCATATGCCTTTTTGAGATCACATATTAGAACTGCTAGATATTAAATATAATATATAAAATATATAAATGTGCATGATCATCATTTGACTAAAAATCATTCCTATTAGAGAAATAATTTATTTAAATTGGGGCTGGACTTCATTACTGTGATTTTAAATATGATTGGAAATTTCTTTGAGGGATATATAATTAAGTCAAATGTCTTGCGAATGAACTAAAGTTTTAATTTTTAATGTTTAGCGACGCAAAAAACTCAGTGACAATAAATAGTTCAAAATTTTGTTATTTCATGTATCACAAAAAGCTCCAATACAATATGCTTATATAATTTTATAGAAAAAAATGTTTTAAATATATATATTTTAAATTGGAAGAGTAGATAAAAATTCATTTGTATTCTTATTCAGTATTTTATGTATATTATTGTTTCAAAACTATGTATCTATAAAATATATAAATATATATTATATTATGCAATATAAATTTGTACTTATTTTATGATTCTACAAATTGTTTTCATTTTAGCACCAAAACTAATTACCTTAAATCATTTCTAAACATCAGGTATTATAATCCTTTCCAACTTAATGTTTGATACTTAATTGTGCCATCGATATCTTGTGATGCGTACACTGCAACTTTTTTTACACTAACTGCTAATCTTCCATTAATAACTATATCTGCCATACTATGTTGAACATTTAAAGAAGAAACCACTGAAACTATATGTGAGGCATGAAACAGCACAGGATCACCTAAAAATCATATAAGTATAATTATAATATATATTGAAATCAGATCATATATATTAACATCATAAATGTTAAGATGATAAATTTATAAACTACAATTGTGCAAGTTATAAAATTACCAGGATATAAAAGAAAATCTCCTCCAAATTTTTCTCCATCCGTTATGTAGTATCCTTTATGCCATAAATCTTCATATATTTTTGCTTTCAACACAGAATAATTTTGAAGTTTTTCAACTGGAATATCCTCCTCATCTAACAAATAGTTCAATTTATACCAACTCCTTACACAACGGATTATAAATCATTATGTAACCTGTTTCCAAAGGGTGCTCTGAGAATATTTCAACCAATGTATGTTGCCTTTGTGCAGGTACTATTTTACTAATTTCTGCTTGTATTAAATCATCTTTACTTAAATGCTGCTCTAAAATATGTACTATTTTAGTAATACTAAATGTATTAGGATTAAGTCAAATTGAAAATAAAATTTGCATTATATAATTTGTAATTTAAGTATTTATATGCAGCATAAAGTAATCTGATTATATTTAAATATAATAATGTTTATTAATACCATTTCCATCATCCCTATCAGCTAATTGCTTTTTTCTTTTTCCTTCGACAATCTTGTCAACAGTTGATTTAATTTCATTTTCACGTAATTGTTTTAAGAGTGTAACTTGTTCTTGATATAACTTTTCATTAAGTTCTTGAAATGCATGCTGTTCACTTTCACTTGGAGCAATATCTAAACCTTTACGTCTAATTAATCTAGCTATACCCTTATTGACAAGTAACAATACTTCTTCAGGTAATAGAGCTAGAGGTAAGCCTAGAAATTAATAGTCAAATTAAAATATGCTGTCATTATGGACAAATGGAAGACTTACCTAATATTGACTCTTGTCTCGGTGATGAAGCAACTGTACCTCTTAAATTACCAACAATTCGATATTCTTGCCGTAATTTTAGCCAATCTCGCGAATTCCAAACATAAGCCACTCCATCGTTAAAATATAATTTCATTGCACCAAAATTCAATAAAGGAATATGTGAAAACAAAAAGTAAACTCTCAGTCGATCGCAGAAATTGGCAGAAATAATATAATTTTATATATATAGATTTTGCTTCAGAAGAAAATGCTTTTTTTAATGCAAAGAAAGGAAAACTTGTATACTATATTATAATATAACATATAATTAATATATTATACCATTATACTGCTCAGGCACCTTACTGGAGAGCGGTTTATTTGACATTTCATAAAAACAACTGTCAGGTATGAAGTTACCATTCAAACAACGAACTAACTGTCAATGCTGCCAATATTGTGCAAATCACCGGATGATTTTTGAATTTATATTTTTATATTTTTGCTTATGTTAAAATATTCAGACGTCATTTAACTAATATTAAAACGCGCGTAATTTTATTCAATATATAAAAGAAATTAATACAACTCTCATTTAATTTGATGAAATTGCTGATATATGTATGAAACATATAAGTTTATGTGAACAAAATGTAGGATATATCCTATATTTTGTTCACATAATATCATTAAACTCTTTATTTTTATATAAACTCTTTATATATATATATATATATATATATAATGAAAAATATTTTAAAGTACTATTATATAATTTATAAACCTTTAGTTATCAAACATCAAATTACGGGGTATTCTAATATTGTCTAGGCATCAAATATTACTATGTTTTGGCTGCGGTGTATTTGAATAAAAATTCGAAGATTGAACTGATTTAAAAATACAACTAAAACTATAGTTTTGTTATTTAAATTCATGCAATAATTTGTAAGCATACTTTATAAAGCAAAATATATTGAGCAAAAGGCGTCAAAAAAATTAAATTTTTAATTATTCATATTTGCAAAGTCATGGATATATATCCATGATTTTTCACTCAAATCAAACATACACATTTTTCTTTCAAGAGTAGATGTTCTAAGTCTTAAATATTTCTAAACTCTAAATTAACTCCATATAATTATATAAATATAGTGTATAGTATTATCAAAATAAATAAATTTATCAGTATTTATTTATTCCATTTATTGATAAATCGAAAAATTAATTTTGTAACTATAGAAAAAAGTTTCAATTTTCAAAAATATTTTAGTCCATTTGCATCAATTCATCCATATGACATCAAAATGGCGTGAATTTAATTCATATCACATCAAAATGGCGTGTGAATTTAATCATCGTCCTTTCAATTGAATAATATTTTACCAAATACTACATATAATTCTCTATACCATAGTTTGTGTTAATTGAATATCTTCTAATTACCATAATTACCTTTTATAATTTTGTATAACAGCATCACCTCATTTCCTATTGCACTTGCACTTTTTTCAATTTTTTTTTATTTATGTCACGAATTTTGCACAAAAAAATAAGATGTCGACAACAGGTTAATCTTGTTACTATATTATCTATGTTGACTAAACTCATGTCCATCTGTTCGAGTTGTTTAACCATAATCCATAAAGCCTAAAATGAAAAACTTCGGCATGAAAAATGAAAAATCCTTTCAAAAAACCTTTGTTAAGATGTCAAATAACGATATTTTCCAGTTTTTATCTTTTTATTTTGGTTAGAATATAAAATTACAAAACTATAAAACCACTGGGTTTTGAACAAACACTATTGTCAACAATTCAACCAAACTAGATTAGTTAAGGAAAAGGACATATATACACAAATTACACATAACACATAACACAACACATAATCTATTTAATTTACTTATTTATTAGTTGTATTAGAATTTTTTTTAGTTACATGTGCAGGAGAGCAGCTCTCGCTTCGGCGATTCATGGCCTCGCACTCGCAATCGCTATTGTCTGAAGAACTTCGATCCATAATATATAAATACTTATGATAAGCTCTAGAGCAGTTCTTCGCCTTTTTAAATGACCTGGTAATCTTCTTCATTTGAGGAATGTCCTCAAAGTCAGTAGACAAATTACTTGGGGATGATATACCAGACTCGGATGACACCGTGCTGCTGGTCGTCGGACATGATTCGTCAGATAATAATCGATTCCGATTACGTTTCACACCAGAACAAGATGGCAACGTCAAACTTTTAGCGATCAAACTTGCTTTATCTTCGTTAAAGTTCGGCAAATTCAATGTCGGCACAGCCCCGTTCTTCAATTTTCGCGTGAAGGATTTGTAGTCGTCCATGCGGAAATGGTTCGTGCAGATCGAATACCTCTTATTTAGTTCTTCAACAGGATAAGTCTCAAGTTGAGGATTATCCACCAACTGCCTCCACAATTCTGCTCGCTCTATATTTGTAGGAAAACGATGCACTAGAATGTGCGTATGCAGATAGGAAAAACATTCAGGAACACAACACTTTTTCGCCATTGTCAAAATTTTCAATTCAACAATCACTAATGTCAAGTCAAATTTGTCACACGTCAATCAGATTTCTAAAGACCGTTAGTCATTTATTTTTCTGGTTCCACCATATCTCGTTCAGCGCATAAGATGATTAGGCGCTGAACAATCAGGATATGCGTCCAAAGTAAAAGTACCAATAAAAAGTCAATGTAATGTCAAAAATTAGATACATGTCGCAAAATCCAACCAGAAAAATTAAAAAAAAAGATAAAATATGTTCACAAATTAAGTTTTAACGTTTTCTAAAGAATCAAATAATTTGTATTTCATTTTTGAATAACGCGGGTCCCAAAAACGCAAGTAAAAATAATACTGTCCGAGTGTGTAGTCAAAATGTCCCGTAAAAACAGTAGGAAACAAAAATTCATGTCCGTTGAACGTTTCTTACCTTTTCGTTTTTCCTTACAACTTTATGCGTGAATTGAATTGAAAAAATTACGAAATTTTGTATTAGATATTTTTTATATTTTTCGAAATTTAATTTTAGATGTCTTTTGTTTTTTTTTATTACTGAAAACTTGAAAAAAAAACAAGCGAAAATTCGAGCCACGTGAAGTTCGTTCGTTATTTTTCAAAATGTCGGCGATTAATTTTTTAGTTTTGCAATTCGAATAAACTCACTGTTAGAAAAATGCATGAAATTTCAAAACAAATAATATAAAATCCAAATGTTATATTTGAATTAAATAATATTTTGTTTTGGCAAATAATACTATGACATATTGCATATATACGCAGTAAGATTATAGATGATATCCATGCAAAGATAAAACGAAGAAATAGGGAAATGAATTCACAATTTTTTTGAATATAATGGTAAACATCTACAGCTCAACATATTTTAAAACATAATTTGTGAACACTTTGATTTGTAGGTAGTACAATGTCTAGTTATTCTATTTAATGTTATTAAGTATTATTTAAAGTTAATTATTTCAATTTCGAATTATTTTTATCCATATATATTCATTTTGGCCAATTAAAATATATTAAATAGAATTAAATAAAAAACAGTTTTTATTCTAACCAAATATTTTATTTGACCAATAAGATAAAATGTAAGATATAAATATTCTAATGATGGAAGATTTAAATGTTGCATAATACTTGAATTTTGCATGTATAAAGCACGTAATAAATTTCTATATACGTTACTTATAAAAAAGTTATATATCATAGATTTAATCATCACATAATATTTGTTGTCACAATACATTTTATACTGAATTAGGCACTAATATGCATCTTTGTATAGAAAGAATAATTTAAAAGTTTATTATGTATATAAATAAAAGTTACTAAAATTCACTAACATTTTGATATAAAAACAATAAATGGAATTACAAGCAATTTATCACTAAGTGAAAGTGTAAGAATTAAATACACTTATCACTGTTGATTTATACTAGAAATAGATACAAGTGAAGTAGCTGTAGAAACATTATCCAGTAATGTTCGAGCTTCGGTTAAGTCCAACATTTTGGGGATTGGTTCAGCTTCTCTTTGAATAATACTATCATTTTGTTCCATACTTATAGTTAATAATTCATCACTAGTCTTAGATTCTTTCGTTTCAAGTAAAAATACACTTTCCTAAAAATGTAAAATTTATTTTATTTATAAAAAAAAAGAAAAAGAAGCAAAATAATGCCTATGTTTAAATATCATTACTATCTATTTGATCTTTCCTTTAGCAATTTAAATTATATATGGATACAAACATGATAAATTTGTATTTATTTACACATATGTAATGCGTGATGACTTCTTGTTAAATAATTTAATCTTTGTTTGTGCTATAATATAATTCCTGCTTACCTTCACGGTTTTGTGATTATTTAAATCAATTACTATATATTACTATAATATAATTCCTGCTTACCTTTACAGTTTTGTTGATATTTAAATCAAGCATATCATATATAACAGCATGAAGACCAAGTTTCTTCAAATATTGAATAGTTTCCTTATTATTATTTTCTTCTCCCCAACAAAAAATAACTAAGCCGGCATCTGTTGCTAAACTTATCTAAAATAATATGTTTATTATTAGCATGTGTCATAAACTATGGTTTGAAACATTTATTGAAATGTACCTGAGAGGAATCACGTAATAAGTCTTCAGTATTAACAACTATTCCTAAAATATCTTGGCAAACGGCATGTTGAACTGCCATTTCAATATTAATACAGCGGACATCATGATAAGGAGGATATCTGTAATAAAAAATTCATTAGATAAATAATAATAATTTATCAAACTATAATAATTTTATGCGAGTGTAATAAATATTAGTCTTAACTATGTGCAATGATCATGACATAAAATATAATATTTTATGTCGATATGTTTGGAACATTAAATATTGTTCTATAAACCTAGTCTTTCTATTTGATGTATCACCTTAGAAGTATTTGTTCATATTTATTATATAAAAATAGAGACTCACTTTTCACTCATTCCTTGTGTAAGGAACATCACAGGATACAAATTTTGTTTCAAACGTATCATAGTACAAATATCGGGATGGAAGCATGAGAACACAATACGCCTCTCACCAGCATTTTTGAGAACAACTTCAAGAATCTACATTTGAAAAAATAATAGAATTCAGATCACTACAGATGATTACTATAAATATCATTAATTGCATATATAAATTGCTTCTTACCTTATCTACATACATATTCATATCAAATGGATTATACAGCTCATACGAGCCATCTTTGAGTCTCATTGTCCATTTAATTTCTACATTAAAACCTACATTTGTGTCAATAACATTTAAGACTTCAGATAATTGTGGGAAAGGTTGATGTTCTTCTAAATCTTCATCGAAAAACCTCTGTTCATTTTCCCTTCCTTCGACTACATGATAAACCTAAATTAAAGAAAGGTATAGATAAGAATGAAGTGCAAAGTAATAGCGCAAAGTTTTGTAAATATACTTTTAGTTTTTGCAATTGCTCAAGTGTTAATTCTTTAACAGGTAGTTCAAGCATTTCACTATATTCATAATATTTTTTCTTTCTCATTGATACGCAGACTTGGAAGTCATGGTAAATGATTGGAACGTAATCCTTGCTGAGCTGGACGTCAAATTCGACCATGTCAGCTCCATGGGCTGCTGCAGATTTCATAGAGGCTATGGTGTTCTCTCGAACGGATCCACCATTCTTATCACGGAAGGAGGTTCCCAGACCCCTGTGACCCACATCTAGGCCTATAATAGTAAATAAGTAAGCATTGGAAAATAGTCATCTAGGAAATGATTAAAATCTGAACATAGACAATAAAGAAAAGAGTGCGCGTAAGGTTCACACGCGATTGAAGTAAAACTTATTTGCTACTAAACAAGATTGCATTTAAGTAAAAATAAATACATCATATAACCATTTGAAATAATGTGTAATAGTAATATGGTAACACTCGTGATGCACACATTTGTTAGAGTCAACCATTATACACATTAATATAATGATAAATTATATATTTATAATAGCATTAAAAATATGTATAATATTTAAAAACAATAATGTAATTAAAGTCATACTTCAAATATGACATGATCGGTTTGTCATTGTAATTAGCATTTAGGACTTGGACCTTTATAAGAAAAATGAAGTAATTGCTGATTAATACATTCTATAATATTTGTTCCCACAGTGGATTATGTAAAACAACGCCTAAAGAAATATTGTTTTAGCAACTTCACTCATCATGTAATTATGTTTGAAGAACTTCATGTAATTAAAATTAACATATATTCATTGACGGCTTACTTTTTCGCTGGCGATATAATCTCATTCTTTGAACAGCTGTAATACTTGTCTATCCTTAAAAATATTTTCCTTTTTAATAACTTCAAAGGTTTATAGAAACTTCGAATAACATAGAAATCATTTCTAATCAAAAAACTTACGTTTAGTACACGGCACAAATGATTAATTTGTTTTATTATTTTCAAGGAATAGGGTAAAATATTCAGGTACTTTTCATTGAATCAAGATTTGTACTACAATGAAACTTTAAAATGTTTATTTATCTATGCCGATTTCCTTGTTGATAACGGTACGCATACAACGTTCATGCCGGTACGCATACAACGACAGATCTCTATTCACATACACGACGACTAATCACAATCGACCCGTATTGAAATGATTTCATGTAGAGCGAATGACGTACAGTTCGGGCGTAACGCTATTTCCGTTGCATTTGTACGGATTTACACGGATAATCGCGCCTAAAGAAGTTTTACTTAAAAAATAACATTGCAAACTATCAATTGTATTTTCAAATTAAAATCTTCAGTTACTCTACAAATATATTTTCTCTAGAATTTCTCTAGAATCTAGAGTTTTTATGATACTAGTACTAATGATGGTTTAACTTACCAGTCCATGCAGAAGTCCAATGCTTGGCATAGGAAACAGCAAAATTGCATTTGTAATTCTGCATAGGTTTCACAACTAAATACTCTATATACATTAATCCAATTGGACGGTTTTTAATCGCGCAAGTTATTGGCACTTCTATGTTTCCAATGGAATTTTTGAGCTGGCCGGGCATTATGTAGTGATATCCAAGATGCTGCGGAGGTTCTCCGGTCTTGGCCTATACAGGGAAAACCAATTTATAAAACATTTGCACCATTGACGAGAGGCAAAAATTTTTATATCGAATGAAAAATATATGTAATAAAAAATTTACGCAAATAATAGTTTGCGCGTCAAACTTGCTGTGTCATCTCTCTGACCGGAACGGTTCTGCGATCATTTTTTGCACTTAACTGTTTTTTGTTGCTTAAGATGAGCATGTTTACATATGCCAATTAGGATTGAAATATTTTAATTCAATAAATAAAATTATTTATAATATATTGATCCGCTATCATCCGCACAGAAAACATGTAAAACTGTTAGTATCTAAAGATCGTTAAGTACAATGTGTTCTATCAGAAATGTTAACCTGTAAAGCTTGTTTTTAGTTTCACATCGACCTTAAAGCTGAATGTACTGTAATTCCACACCATTGCATACTTGGCAAAATGAAAAAAATCAACATGGTATTAACAAAAATTAAACTTTAAGCTCAACAAATTATGTTACTCAAATATTATGAATTTAATGTGTTGATTACAATAAAATTTACAATATTACAATATTCAATGAAAGTCTTCATCTAAATACTTTCTAGCAAAGTTATCAAGTTGAATCCAATGAATATGCTGATCCAAAAAAAAAATAGCAACCATGAATAAAGTTCCAGCAAAACTTTGATTATTGAACAATTTCAAAATGCCCAATCAATCCCATAGAATGAGATTATTTTACAAAAAAATCTTTATGAGACATATTGCACATCACTATATGCATGTGATGATGGTCAATAATTATATTAATTTTTAATTAAAGAATCAATGATGTAACTATATCATGCTTGACAAAATCCAACGTATTAGGAAGACTTCATGAGCAGACTGGGATGCATAAGCAAACACCAATGAAAAGTGATATATGAAACGAATTGGACTTCATTTTCTTTAGATGCTATAACACAAATATTGCCCAAAAATATTGCTTAAGTCTTTTATGAACATGAAAAATGTTTATTTATTGGACAATATGTTTTGCCGTATGTCTTATATGTAATCTGTTTGGATATATGCGCCAAAAACATAACTGACTTCAATCAAATTTGTACCACAGTTTTTAAACCAAACAGATCAAAATAAATCAGAATTTAAATTTGGAAAAAGTTTGCGTGATTTATTATTTCACTGATTATTCAATTTACCTTTTGCTACATTATTTATTTCTATATACACCAGTGTATAGAAGAATTATATAATGACTTTTTTAAAAATCCCATCTGAAATCAAATGCGTGAAATCGAACAATCCGAATATAAGTAACTGGTCATGATGTGAAGATTGTGACTTAAAAAATGATTAATAAAATATCGAATGCTTGATAGAACACAATCACACTGAAAGAGGACCTAAAGTTCATATTAACACAAATTTTTATTGATGCCATTTAAAGAAATGCACCAACACTGAATTTAACGAAGCTCTCCGACTCTGAAGCGCCGTCTCGTTCATCGGCTGTTAAAACCTGCCAAAAAAGAAATTCAGAACTTTAAAATTAATTTGTTTCTGACACAGCATACGAAATTATGTATTGGAATTGCAAATACTACAAACACTCAGTTGGTATATTTTTATGCCGTAATAACTAGTAATTTGATATGTCAGTGTTTCCCAACCCGTACAAATTCCCAAAATACGATCATATGTCTTAAAAGTACTATTGTCAGCAAAGAGTTACGTCAGCAGACTAATGCTTACTAACTGCTTGACATAAGCTTATTTCAGTTTCAGAAAAACATATAGCAAATTCGGCGTTCTCAAATTCGGTTTTTCAAGTTCATTGATATCCATAATATTTTTAATAGTACCATGAAAATCTTAATAGTTTCCTATGTAATTTCAATTAATTCACTCTCACCATTTCACTTATTTATTAAATGCATATAAAACCCTGAATTCTATGTCAAGATCACAGCATTCATATGTACTTTTTAATTGATTTTCTTTCTTAACAAGAAACTTTCGGTATAATACTAATGAATTCTCAAGAAAAATGAAAACTAAACAAAACCATAATTTCAATAAAAATGAAAAAACAAGTAATATACGTGATTGTATAAAACGTTAATAAGTTAATCTATTGATTTATTTGCTTATCATCAATTATTAACACGTGGATTGCCTAACAAATTTCTATTTTTATGCATAATACAAGATACAGTGGAGCCCCGCCTTACGAGCTTAAATCGTTCCGTAATCACGCTCGCATGTCGAATCTTTCGTATGTCGCAGCATTTTTTTTCTATATAAATATTAAAATTCCATTAATTCGTTTCAGCACAGTGTTCTTATTAATAATAAAATAAATGGAACGTTGATAATACCAAATACATATTTTGCAAAAATATAGAAATTTACTAAATACAAAATGAATAAATTATCATACATTTTTTTAAGTGAAACTTCTTTAGGCGCGACTAGGGAGTAAAGCTGTACAAATGCAACGGAAATAGGGTTACGCCCGAACAGTTTGTCATTCGCTCTCGATGAAATCATTTGTATGCGCGTGGATTGTGATTAGTCGTCGTGAATAGAGATCTGTCGTTGTATGCGTAAGGATACGAGAAGGAAATTGGAATGTCATTAGTTTTGAGGTTACATCGTAGTACAAATCTTGATTTAAAAAAAAATGCCTGAATCAGAAGAAAATCTCGTATGACGAGTCGCTCGTAAGGCGGGGTACAACTGTATTATGTTCAACGATTAATTGCAGTTCAGTTATTAAATGATTATTCCCATTATTTAGTGCTGCGATTTAATTCTCCAAAGAAATTAGTGTAATGTTACGTAGGCCTTTTCAAAAATTATAAAATATAAAACGATATATAATTTGCTTTTACAAAGTTAGAAAAAACTAGAGCTAAAAATTCTATTGAAAATTGGTGTTGGTTCTTTTTCCAAGAATAAAATTATGTTCATGGGTTCTATAATGAATTCATTTCGCCAAGCTATTGTGATAATAATAGTTTAAAAAATCGTCTGTATACATATTTATTTAATTATGTGCGTTTATTATTTAATGTGTCGCCAGTAATCGATGACACCCAGGGCAGTCAATGTCTTAATTATATTTTTAATAGTTGCTTGACGAGCTCAGAAATTGTTTAATAATAATGTGTATTTAATAGTATCATATTGAAAAAGTTTCATGTTGAAGAAAACATCACTCAAAAATATAAAAAACTAACAAATAATTTATATAACCCTGTCCGTTAAAAGTAAACATTTATAAATGTTATATCATTACAAATAACTGGAACACCACTATTGAAGTAGTGAATCAATATAATTAATCAAATATAGAGATACTGATATAAAATAGTTTATGAAGTGTTTAAAATAGAATGAAACAATACCAGCCGTCAACAATTCATATGAATAAATGAAAATGAACTTAAACATTCAAATATGTTTGATATTCAATTAGTAACATGGGTACTAATATGCACTCAAAATATTTATTGGATCAATTACACATTTCAAAAACACGTGCATTATCGACAACAACCCATATTCAGTTTGCGCAAATGGAACTGAGTATGAGGAAAGGTTGAAAAACACTTTGACATTCACAGATCATATAAATAGAAGTCAATCTAAACAAGCATTTTGACATTTTTGCGAACTTACTCTTGAACTATACGTGTACAGATCGACTAAGAAAGCTGTCGATTCTGGATTCGGTATGACCATATGGAATATCATACAGTTGTCTTTATTGTAAGGCCTTCCGAATTGCTCCTGATCCTCGAATTTGAAGTTTTCGTGATTGAGAGTGGCCACTTTGGTGATGACATTGGCGGGCTGGTCAACGACATCATGACTGTCACCGGTAAGGGACTCCTCCAAGGCAGACATCATGGTGCGGCCCTCGGTGCCGAAGCGTAAATTAACCGGAGTTACCTAGAAAAAAATAAATAGAATATTTACTTTTTATTTCTGATACGAATATTCGGATACAAATTTTCGTCGACGATTTCGGGAACACCGATCAACCGATTTGAATAATTCAAAAAATATTCGATTCGTATTGATGAGGAGACGTGCTGATCAGTTTTTGGCGAAGGCAGGTCTAGCCGTTCCGAAGATACGGGGCAAAAAGTGCCAAAAACGGTAACTCCGTTAGTTTTTAAGAGAATGGAGCGTCCGATTTTAGTAATTCAAAAAACATTTTGCTTGTATTGACAAGATGAACAACTGATTAAATTTTTGGAAAGGCAGGTCGAGCGGTTACGGACTCTCAATAAAAATAAGTTAAAAAATGCCATTTGGCGGTCAAAAATGTTTATTGGACATGTGTACATCAAATTATCAGATATTTTATAGAGATTTTAATAATGTGTACACATTTTGTGTATTTTTTTTTGTGTTCCGTTATCAAGATTTTTAATTAGGGTACGGAAAGTTCCAGCAATTTGCTTTAAGACGCGATACCATGCACCCCACTAGTTTATTTTTTTAGAATCATTAGAAATATAAAGAAAGTAAAAAAATGTTATGGCAAGGCCATGTTATGAAGAACTTTTCATACTAAATATTCACGAAGGCCATTTGGTGGTTGTGCGGTCAGGCGAATTTCTCAGGTTGTCAGATAGAAATCTGAACCTAGAAACCGCACAAATGCCAAAACAACTATTTTAGATAACAGGGTCTTTCTGACTCAGCTTCATAACATACGAATGACGTTGCAGTTTATATGTAAAACGCCTGAACGCACAGCAAATACATGATATTTTGACTGTACTCAGTATGATTCAGTAGCATAATGTATGGAAGTTGGAGCGTAACATGGCCTTGCCATAACTTTTTTCTGTTATGCGGTAGAATCGTTCCATAGTTTCAAATTCAATTATTGTAAGAAGAAACAAGACTCCTAGTTATAATAATTTTTCCTTAATGCCCAATATCTATTGTAAGGTAACCTTATTCACCTATTTTGTACTTCCATAAATCAAGCTTTAATTGTAAATGATTTCATACGACATTCTCTATGAGTAATAAAGAAAAATGTAAGAACTCTTTTGAATTAAAATTGTTGCATTATACATTAAATATTTGTAGTTGTTACTAATATTTGGAATCACTATTTCAAATTTTTGAAAATTTAAAATAAGAATTTGCATTTGATACATTTTAGTAAAAAGGAATTCTAAACGTACATCAACATAATATTTTTGGAAATACGATTTAAAATTAAATTATTATAATGAGGAGAATGACAATCATTATTTAATACTTAACAGATTTATTGTGAGATAACCTTGATCACTTATCTTACTACTCTTGAAAGATAAAAGAACAAGAACAACACAATTCATTGCAGGCTGGATATTGTAAACGCCAATTTTACTAAATTATTAAATTGCTCTTTTAGTCTCAAAATCTGTAAAAATCGCCATAAGAATATGGTTCAGATCAAAGGTCTTGATTGACGATTAGACAGATATTTTGCATACTGCAGAGACTTGCACTTGCTGAATCTAGGAAACTCAATAAGATATAATTTTTCATTCATGATTCCATGATTAATCATATCATGAGTGATCATCAAGTGTAAATTCCACATGGAAGCCAGAAAATGCAAGTTTCTAGAGAATTCTTTCGAACTTTGCCACATGAGACAAATCAAAAGAGACCTTGATAAGATAACAATTGCATATCTATACTTAAACAAAACAATGCAGAACTACTACGATCTAATGATCTAGTTTGGACTTTTATCCGGAATGTGAGTGGCATCACCAAATGCGAATTGCAAAAACTTTTCGGTATGGTAAAAACCCGTGGTATCTGTTTCACATGAATATTTGAATATGATTTTGACAGTCATGAATATTAATTTTATTATGATATTTTCCATATGGTTTGCAACCAGATACAAAAAAGATTCTGATTTCCAATCTGAATCAACTATTCCTAGCTCCAAATCCAAATCCAAATCTATACAATTTACAATGGCGTTATGATAACTAAGCTAAGATATTTATTTTCTATTTTTTCAATATTTTTGCATCAATAGTAGATACAATATTTTTAAAAAAACAATATTTTTAGAAAATCTACAACGTTTTTAGACAATCCTACAAAATTATCGTATAATCCACCATGTTTTCAGACAATATCTATAATGAGGCTGTATTATGTAAATTTTAGTAGAATTATGTAAATGTTAACAAAATAATAAAGTACTAAATTAGTATCTGATTTTGTTCAAAAGTGAACAGACGATTATTATTTATCCATGTAATATAGAGAACCGTATGTTTTATTAAAATTAAAAACAAATAATTTGCTACTAATTTTAATCTATAAATTTCAAATTAATACATCTTGAGAATCGTTGAATGCATAAATAACGGTATTAACATCCGATCGAAATGCTTATACAATTCCAGACAATGAGTACAATAAACCTCGTAAACAATACATCAAAAATAATTATTTGCAAATAACATTTCCAGGAACACAATATGTATAGAGTTCTGTTATATAGAAAATATCAACATCACATTTGTAATTAATTCAATATTATTCGACTATAATGAATTATACAATTAAATATAATATCTACATATAAATACAGAGGCGAACTTTACAACTATCAAAATTTTTAACAAACTCCTTCCTAAAAAAAAAACTACTGAAAAGTTGGAAAGAAAATCACCACTTGATCTATTATTAGTTAACATTAATCCTTGATAAAACTACATTTAGATCTTGATTTTACTAATTAATGGAAATTATTTTAGTTTTATATTATAATCGTTATTTAATTATGTTAATAGAAAATCAACTATTGCTTTGTTTTCTCAGCATCATGTCAGCATTTTTATGTATAATCATGACAATCTTTCAAGACGAGATGCTCAGTTTATGGCCAAGTTCCGAGTAAATTATAATTTGTGTCTTTGTTACATAAAACGATTTACATTATTTGTTGCAAAATTTATAATATTATTAAAAAATGGAACAGTCGGGGTTTTACCAGTGTGTAACGTGAAACCAATTAGAGTGGTAATAAGAAATGTGATTTGTATTCAAACCGGTATTAGTTAAGCCAAATCATCGTAATAAAAATGTAATTTATTAAGGATACTAAAACTAAAATTACCTAACTATAAATATAGACTGATGCTATTTTACATCGGCAAACAATGTAAGAAGGTAAGGTATGTGTGTTACAAAACCACAGATTTTTTATTGTTTTGAATAGCAATCAATTAAAGAGTCCTATAAGCTAGTTTGACCTAATACTACGTCGATTTTACAGATGGCAACCGAAACAGTTCTTTAATTTATAATTACAATTTCTTTAATAGGGTGAATATTTTAATGATGCAGCAATGTCTGAAAGAGGGCTATTTTTACTTGATAACATATTAAACCGATGTCACGACTACTTGACATCAGGCTCCTCAAAGAGCGATCAAACCCAGGACCTCTTACCCACAATAAAAATAGAGAAACATAACACACCATTATATATAATCTCTATTTTTCTTGTTTTATGACATTTACAATTTACAATTACATTTACATTTATAATTAAGTAATATATACTCTGAATTTATAATAAATAGCAACTTATGCATTAAAAAACTCTTGCAAGAAAATATTCTTCAGTTATAATAAAAATATATGCAACAAAATATTCCCCATAGAAACTTGAACCATCAAAACTCTTGCAACAAAATATTCCACTTATACACAATGAAAAGCCCTTGCAATGAAATATTTCTCGGATTTATAATATATAATTTATTATAATTATTCATATAAAACAGCAACAACATTTAAAAAACTATATACCTAGTATGTATTTATGGTTTTATATATATGAACCGACGATTAAGACAAGAAAACTATATGTAGAGAATCAAAATCTGAGGTATATACCTCATTTACCTGTTAGTGCTGATTTTAGACTCCTCTAACAGCAATTACTAATATTTGACTTTACAAGAAATACTTTTCAAACTTCTGCTCCCAGCCTATATGTCCTATATTGCACAGAATATTTTGGGAGCAGAAGTTTGAAAAGAATTCCTTGGAAAGTCAAATATAGTAAAGGTAGTAAGAGGAGTCTAAAATCAGCACCATTAGGTTGGACGTGACTTCAGACTGAGCATCAATAATGAAATTATACGTATACAATGGTACCCCGCCTTACGAGCGACATGACATACGAAAGTTTTGAGATATAAACCGTCAAAGAAGCGGTTTGTTTGCTTTGTCATACGAGCAAAATTGGAGATTGGAGCCGCCAAAGAAGGGATTTATTGCTTCGTCATACAAGCAAAATGAAACAGGTTCATCTAAGGGGTGCGAATGTAACAGATTCATCTAATATCAATTGCAACAAGGATTTTCGTATGTGAAGGCGAATTTAACTATCATACAAATACTTAAAGTAAATTATTTTAAAGTTAAATCTTATTAATATTAAATGTATCATTATTTTGTAAGACAAAGTTGGAATGTTTGTGGATAAAAATCCCCCCGAAAAAGATGCATCTGGTCGACCATCACAGTTGTTTGACGAAACATGTGTCATTTTGCAATATACAGTAATACCCCATTTAACGTCGTATCGTTTAACGCTGTTTCGGTTTAGCGCTCTTTTATTTCAACCCAAGTTTTGAAGATTAAATGAGGAAAATGTCAAAGAAATAATTCAAGAAGCAGCGCAGTCTTTCTAATGGTAAGCTTAAGAAATGAACTGAACAAGAAGAAAACAAAATTGTTGACAGTAGTGATTCAGCGGAAAAGCAAAAGTAATAAATGTTTTGTTCTATTTTTATTAAAAAACATACTATTAACTTCCCGTAGGGTAAGTTATTGTAATGGGCCGAAAATCGGAATTGAAAATTTTTACATTTCTCGACGTTTTGAAGGTTTCTGAA